GTTTCACGGGGATCTTTTTTTTTTTTTTTTTTTTTTTTTTGAGGTTTCTCTCCAAGTTACTGGCTTGGTCCTTCCAAATTTCCTTCATCTCCATACCCCACAGAGTTTATGGACACTGCTGAGAAGGATTGAAAGCTACCCTACATTATCAGCCTGGACGGGAAGAGCTGCTTCCCTCCGCAGAGGACAAATATTATGTCCCTGCCGTACAGGACTGCTCAGCGTCAGCAGTTCCTACAAATGACTGCACAACTGCTGGAGCCACTGTACCAGCCGTGCCTTACAGAGCGGCTAATTTGTTTCAAGTGCCGTCATCACCACAGAAGCAAAGACAAACACAAGCTCAAACACAGATAAATAAAAGATTAATATATCTCCTGGCAACCTACTTCCAGCACATTTTAAAAGCCCCTTAAAACCTCTGTGCAGTGCAATGCAATTTACTACCTGACTCCCTGCAAACTGTCTGACAGTGGTCTGTGCTTCTGGAAGCAAAGACTGCTCCAGCTGCTTGACACTGAAAATAACAACAATTCACAAAGTCTTGGCTTTTAATTTCCCGAGCACTAAGCACATGCTTTCTCGCAAAGATGATGACTCGGGTTTTCTTCATTTTACTTGGGAAACAGAGCAGTCAGAAAATGAGCCGTGTCCTCAGCAACAAAAACACTGCTTTTGTAAAAGGAAAAAAAAAAAAAAAAAAAAGATTAAGTGAGTAATGGCCAGTACCTATGGGAAAAAAAAAAGTGAGCACACTCGCTGCAATATGCTCACGATTCACTGCATGGGGCTTGGAGAGGGGGGTGGTTTGGTGCTGCCTTCACGTTTCACAACGTGTCGGTAGGAGCTGGCGCTTTGATATGCACAGCTACTGCTAACATTTCATAATATGACAATCTAATAGGTGAAATAGCTTCCCTGTTTTAAAATTCATTAAGAACAGCTGCAACTTAGCTCTGATGGATACATCATTGCTTTTCTTAATCAATGTCTCCTTTGTTGAGTTATATAAAGCTGTTTCATTGCCACACAGACAGGAGCCACTACTCTAAAAAAAAAAAAAATTAAACTAAAAGATATTTAAAATCTATTATAGCATGTCAGTGTCAGCTGTCCCTAGTATCAAGAAGTAATGAAACAACTAAAAATATCATATATGCAAGTAAAAGAATAAAAGAAATATGGTATCAACATTTTGAAGTGACAATTCTGAAATGCTAAAAGAGCTTGCCTAAAAACTGAGTATTTCTGGGTGGGAGAAAGATTTCTAGGACATGCTTTTTCCCTAAGTGAATTTTCCAGGAGTCGCAAGCGTTATTTGCCTTCAAGTTCTATAGTGTCAGTGTGGATTTCTCATACCAACTTCTGCATAGCCTGCCTCTATGGGGAAAATAGCTTGTGTTTAGAGAACATATTAACACTTTTTAAGAACATGTTTATTGTATTTAAACTATCAGTAAAAGTGTACATGGAGAAAAGCTATTTTCCCAGCACCGTGCCATGTGGTCAGCCTTAGGGTTAACCAGCAAGCTTGTTTTAAACATCGATTTTGAAAATCTCTTCTAGATGTCTAGCCTGGATCCCAAGGAACAAGCAAGTCCAGTGGATTTTCTTTGCTGCTTGCCTTCTGGGGGATATTCCATTTTAGTGAGGCTTCATGATGAAATATGTACGGAAAAACACAGAACTGGGAAGCCTTAGATGGATCTAAGTCAAATAACCACTTACGGAGTCTACAGGAGAAGTAGCTTGTGCTTGTCTGAAGGAGAACAAGGCTGTGGAGAGCTTTAGTACAATGGTCTAATTGTCAAAGACCGCAGCTCTACTAAGCTCCATGCCTGCCAGGAGCCAGACCAGGGGCCAGGGGGAAGAGGAGCTTGAAAAAGACGTGAGGAAAGGCCTGAAACTCTTTGGTAGCATGGTTACAAGCATTACCTTTATTGTAAACCAACTGACTGTGAAAGTGGTCTTTTTTTGTTGTTTTTTAACCTGGAATGCTAATTTTGTTGCATATAAACTGATCCCCAGGTATATGAAAGGAAGGAAAATCAGGTCTAGAGTTTCAGCCCTAGCGGGGCAGGTGCATTATTAGTGTTCTGTGGGTAATTACATCTTCTTCGCTGACAGCAGTAATGAAACTCATTCTTATGGTGTGGACAGAGCTCACATTAGAATCAGCCCCAAACCTCAAGTCAGAGGGGAGAAGGCTCTCTCTGCCTACGTGGAGCGCTCCGCAGGATAAAACTTTGATTAGTGACGTGGAGGGTGGGGTAGATTTAAGTTTAATGTCATTATGCCAACCTCAATTAGATAACCTTGTGCAACTCTGGCAGTTGTGGAATGCAGTTCGATTACCTGGCGTAGCTCAAGAGCTGGAACAATAGGATTTAGACTTCTGGAATACAACTGACTAGGCTAATTTTTATCTTTAGGAACCGAGAGAGATAGACAGCTTCACACATATATGCAAGTAACATACATATATATACATACACATACACACATATACATACGCATATAGGTTATACAGGTATATAGGTTATATGGGTGTCTACCCAATTATGGTCGCCTGCAGCACCCTAAACACCTCGTTTGCTACTCTCTGATTTCCCCCTGGCTGTTGAGGTGCTTCCCAGTGATGTGTGTAATATGGATGTTCCATATATATTTTTCCCCTCCAACCTCACTGCAAGTTCTTTATGTCCTTTATACTTACTATTAGTATACTTGGCTCCATATTCATCTCCAAGTCTGTCAACATAGTTCACCTCCTGTAATCAGGAAATGGTGATTAAATGAACATCCAAGTACAGAAGCTGTCAACCTGGTGTTCATCTTTTTTTAAAGTAAAAAAAAAAAAAAAGTTCAATTACCTTTAGTGCTCATGTGGCTCTGAAAACCAGGGAGAGGGAAAGGGAAAGGGAAAGGGAAAGGGAAAGGGAAAGGGAAAGGGAAAGGGAAAGGGAAAGGGAAAGGGAAAGGGAAAGGGAAAGGGAAAGGCATCACCCCTTCTATGATCCATACACAGAATCAAGTTCGAAGGTCATTGCCAGTCACGTCATTTTTAGCATCTCCTGGAACAATAAAGGAAACAGATCTCCACAGAAAGCGTATACGCTGCAAGCCCTGCAGTTCTGTGTCTCCTGGGATGGGCTGTTATAGCTCCTTACGGGAGTTCGGGAGCTCGTTTGGGGCATTTAGGTTTTAATGGTCTTTCTGCTTGATAGCTGTCAGTTTCAGCATCTGGTCCACCTCATCAGAAGGTCTTAGAGATTTTGACTCAGTGTTGGGTTGCAAATACCATATGACGGGGGGCGGGGAGGGGGGGGGAGGGAGAGAGAGATTTCTATGCTCTTTATGTGCATAGGAAAAAAAAACTAGAATATATATATGCCATCGACATAATCCGCTGTCAAACTACAGAGCAAGTACAACTTCTTCAGTGCATGCAACAACTCTGACCTCCGTGTAATTACTCCGGGCTTACATCAGTGTAACAGTGCCGGCTTTCTCTTCAATTATTTTCTGGGAGTGGCAGGCTCTCTTCCTGGAGCGCTTGTTTGTCTCGAATTGGCCTCGTTTGCTCGACGATTCGCGCATCCTTTCTGCCTGCCCCTTTGCGGGGACTTGCGAGGGCAGCCGCTGCCCGGGACGCCCCGTCGGGGGCGGCCGCGGGGCTCGGGGACCGGGACCGGGACCGGGGCTGGGACCGGTGCTGAGCCCCCCCCGACCCACGGTAACCCCGCGGCTGGTGCCCGGTGCTGAACAATCGCCTACGGATGAGTAAACCCCAAATGCGGTAACTCAGGCCGGCAGCTCTGCAATTAAGACTTTAATTTCAGGTGTAGCCCGGTGGTGGTAATGAATATTTATTCCAACGGAGCAAAGAGGAGAAAATCTGCCGGCCGGGGAACGGGGGAGGCTCTGAAAAAGCGCGGGTTGAGCAGCTGCGGAGCTGCTGGGGTCCCGTCCAGGGTCCCAGCCCGGCCACGTCCCCTTCCCGGGGAAGGGGAAAGGGTAAAGCAGCTCCCCGACGGCTCTCCCTGGGGATGCTCGGAGCCGGCGGAGGGCAGAGCCAGGCTCCCCGGGGACTCCCCTCTGCCAAAGTCCTCATTTCCCCGCATCGCACCTTCCTGGGGGTCCCGCAAGCCCCGCGGGGGGGGCAGCCGCCTCACCGCAGCCCCGAGCCCCAAAAAGCCCCGAGCCCGCCCCAGGTGCGCGTCGCGGGGCCGCCCCCGGGGCTCTGCCGTCGAGGGCAGCCCGGAGGGCTCCGTGCGGGGTGGTGTGCGGTGTTTTCGGGTATTTATCTTTTCGTTTTGGTATTGTTTATTGAAGTTATGAGGACGAGGTGTTTGTTTGGGGTTTTTGTGGTTTTTTTGTGGTTTTTTTTTTTTTTTTTTTTGGTATTGTTGATGAAAGTTGAACGGACGAGGTGTTTGGAGGCGTGAGGCTCGCATCCCGGCTGAGGACAGGGATTTCTTTTTTAGCTGTTGGGGATGACAAAATTAAAATAAAATAAAATAAAATAAAATAAAATAAAATAAAATAAAAGGGGGGAGGAAGAGCGAAAAGAGAGACCTCGGGGCGACACCTCCGGGCTGCCAAAATCCCGACAACGATTTTCATCTCCCCCCTCCTTTCATTCCCAACCCTCCCCACCCCCAAACCTCCCCGGACCGGCCGCCTCGACGTGTGTTCATCCTTCCCCCCCCCCCCCCCCCCCCATACTCCGTGCGGAGGAAAAGTGTCTTTCCGGGGCTGTGGGGCACGGAGCGAGCCACATCTGCAAGCCATAAAGAAGCGGGGAGGAGCCGTCGGGGCGAGGCGCAGCGGGACGGGCGAGGGGGGAGCCCCGGCCGGGCGGCTTTCCCCCCTCGCCCGTTCCCCGCGGCTCGACGGGACGGCCCCGAGGTGAGCGGCGCGGTGAGTACCTGCGGCCCCCCCCCCCCCAGCACCTCGAAGCCCCCATCCCGGCTCCGTCCCGGCCCCGTCCCGCCCCGTCTGCTCCCCGCCGCCGCCGCTGGGAGCGCGCTCCCTTTAAGAGCCCGGCTTTGCCTCCCGGTAGCTGAAGGTCATTAAAACACAAAAGCGCTCCGGCGCTGCGGTCCAATATAGCGCATGCGCCCAGCCCGAGGACTGGCAGGGAGACGGCAATATGGCGAGAATGCCTGGCAGCGGCGGCGGCGGCGGCGACTGGAGCGGCGGAGGCGGCGGAGGGGGCGCTGGGGACAAGGCGGGGGAGCGGCCGCCGGGCCGTGTCCGCGGCGCCCCCCGGCCGCCCCGCTACTGCAGCGCCGGCGAGGAGGAGGAGGAGGGCGAGGAGGAGGATGAGATCCGGGAGGTGCAGATAACGGGGGACGAGGAGGAGGAGGAGGAGGAGGAGGAGGAGGAGGACGGAGCCGATGGGGGGCTGCTGCTGGACGAGGAGGAGGAGGAGGAGGAGGAAGAGGAGATGGGTCTGGAGTGGGACGGCGAGGAGGAGCCCGAGCCGCTGCCCCCCGCCCCGGGCCGGACCGAGCGCGGCTGCGGCGGCGGCGGCGTCGGGGCGGCCCCGGGGGGAGCCGCGGGCGCTGCCCCGGGGGGCGTCGCGGGCGGCGGCGTCGCGGGCGGCGGCGGCGGCGGCGGCGGCGTCGGGGTCGCGGGGGCGCCGTCGGAGGACGCGGAGCTGGAGGCGGCCCTGCTGCTGCAGCGGCCCGAGCGGGCGCGGCTGAGCGAGAACACGCGGCTGGCCACCCGCTACGCCGTGCGCATCTTCCGCGAGTACCTGAGCGAGAAGGCGCAGAGCCCCGACTTCGAGACCATGGACAAAGGGGCGCTGTGCCGGGTGCTGCGCTCCTTCTACGCCGAGGCGCGCTCCAAGAGCGGGCAGCTCTACTCCAAGTCGTCGCTCATCAGCATCCGCAGCTCCCTCAACCGCTACCTCAACGAGCCGCCCTACTGCCGCACCCTCGACCTCACCAAGGACCCCGAGCTGCGCGCCGCCAACCTGACGCTGGCGGCCGTCATCCGCAAGCTGGAGGAGCAGGGCGCCGGGCCGGTGGTGCAGAAGCAGGCCATCACCCGCGCCGACCTGCGCAAGCTCTACACCTGCAGCGTCTTCAGCACGCAGAGCCCCTTCGGGCTCCTCAACAAGGTCTGGTTCGAGACCTGCATGTACTTCTGCACGCGGGGCCGGGAGAACCAGCGGGAGCTGGAGGAGGACTCCTTCGGGCTGGCGGTGGACGAGGACGGCCGCAAGTTCGTCTACTTCAAGGCTCTGGGGCCCTACCACAAGTCGCGCTCGTCCTCCTGGAGCAAGAAGCGGGCGGAGAGCAGCGACGAGGAGAACCTGCCCCGCATGTACGAGACCGGCACCGAGTTCTGCCCCTACGCCAGCTTCGTCAAGTACCTCTCCAAGCGCAACCCCCTCTGCAAGGCCTTCTTCCAGCGCCCGCGGGACCACTGCAGCGAGGGCGACATCACCTGGTACGAGAACAAGGCCATCGGCAAGAACCTGCTGGGCACCCGCATGCAGATGCTCTCCAAGGCGGCCAAGCTCTCCAAGACCTACACCAACCACTGCATCGGCGCCGTCTCCATCGCCACCCTCAACAGCATCGCCGGCATCGGCACCAAGCTGGGGGGGCCGCCGCCACCGCCGCACCACCACCACCCCCCTCCCCACCACCACCACCACCACCACCACCACCTCCTCCACCACCCCGCCGGCGGGGGCTGCTACACCCCCGCCGCCCTCAACGGCGGGCCGCGGCCCCGGCCGCCCGCCGCCAACCCCTACGTGCTGCCCAAAGACGGCGACGCCGCGCCGGTGAAGGCGGAAGCGGCCGCGGTGGCCCCGGCCAAGCGTGCCCTCTACGAGGCGGTGTTCCCGGCGGGGGCCGCGGCCGGCGGCGACGCTTGCGGGCCCTCAGCCTCCCCCAAAAGACTCTGCCGCCGCCCCGCCGAGCCCCTGGACGCCGCCGCGCCCGCCGTGGTGGTGGTCTCAGTGAAACACGACCCCCTGCCTCACCTCCTCCCCGAAGCCAATGGGCACAGAAGCACCACCTCACCCACAGTAGTTTCACCTGCTCTTGTTTCCCCCACACAGGTAACCGGAAAAAGGAGAGGAGGAGGAAAAAAATAGAGATAAATACAACCCCCGAGCTGGCCACCCCGGCCCACGTAGCCTGCGCTCCCCCCTCGCTTGCCCGTCTCCCCCAGGGCCGGTGGCAGCGTTTGGGCAGCCAGAGCCCCCCGCGAGCCGGCCAAACCCCACTCGTCCCGCGGGGAGGTGCCCAGGTACCGTCCTGCTCCCCCTCGGCGGTGGCACCAGTCCTGCGGCTCCCCCTCTCCCTCCTTTTTGCTTTCTTTTCCTCTTTCCTTGTTGTTTTATTTTTTGTGTTCTGTCCCCCCCCCCCCCCCCCCCCTCTTTTTGCGGAAGATACGAGTTACGAAAGTCGGGCCAAAGTAGTAGATAAGGGCGTCAGATATCATTAGTGTGTGTGGTGTTCTTGATGTGCTAATGAACTATTTGAATAACCTCAAATGCAGGAAACAGCCAGGAGAATACTCAATTACACACTAGTAATGAGGGTGTAATTTTAAACTTCAGAAGTTAACAAGAGGGTTAATATGGCAATTGCATTCATCTTGTATTTGTTTATTTAAAATAGCTCTGTTTCCTGGCAGTGATCCTCTTTTTTTTTTTTTTTTTTTTTCTTTTTTTTTTATAAGGCAAATTGGCTTTAGTTGCATTAGTTGCCATAGTGGCGAAATATACAGCAGCAGCACAATTAGGCGGGTTAGGTGCAGCGAGACCAAGTTTGTTGGAGGCGCTTCGTGTCACTGAGGCGGGCCAGGCAAAGCAGAGAGATGGAGAGGTGCCCCCAGCCCCTCGCTGCGAGTCCCCTCCACCGCACGTGCTGCCCGGACCCTTCAAAATCCGTCTCCTTTTGGGTTGTTTTAGTTTTTTTTTTTCAATGGCTGGAGCTAAATTACCGCGCTGCGTTTCGATTAGGGACTCGCTACACTTTTACAGTTGGCTCCGAGTTTGGCAGTCCCTTCCAACTCCCTCTGTGAAACTTCTGCAGCTACGCCGCGCCCCATAAAACCCCGAGCAGCTTTAATGCTCGCTGCCCTGCGCGGTCACCAACCCCCCCCCCCCCCACCCTGCGACGTGCTGGTGTTGAGCAGTAACAGGGATTTCGGTGTCGGGCCGTGCTGTGGGGTGAAGGCAGGTATCCGACATGCCTGAGCTGCTCCCGAAGTGGAAATACCAGTTCTGGACAGAGTGACCCTTTCAGGGAGCTTGCCGGCTAATCAGCCAGCCCCGGGCTAATTGGGGAGGGGAGAGCGGGAGGGGGGCTTTCTGGGAACGCCTGCATAAGCATCGATGTTCTTCGCGGTACCTGTGACCTCTCCTTTCTAGTGTTTTGTGGGTTTGGGGTTTTTCGACCACTTCAGCGGAGCGCTGCGGTTTGACCTCCTGCTGCATGGGTCTGGTGTCTGCGGGTGGCTCGGAGGCTCGGTTGCGTGCGGATAGTGCTTTTGTTCTAGCTCCTTATGTCAGGGATTACATCAGGTGTATTTCACCCCAGACTCCTCTCGTGCTTGCGTTTCGTGACCTAGAGGGTAATTTGGGAACTTCAGGCGTGGCTTGGCTCCTAGGAAGGTCGCGAACATGAGGATGGGGCAGAGGGACCCATGGTGATGGAGGGAGGGAGCATCGCGCGGTACGCGTGCCTGTAACCTGCACGGCAAGGTGGCCCAGCCTGTCCCCCAAATCCCATAACGCCCCCGTAAAGCTCACACGAGGAGAAATCCATCTGTTGGACCGCTCATTGTGTGGCTGCGCGGTCGGAGCTGCGATTCTCATTAGTGGCTGGTATCGGGGGAAAAGGGAGAAATGCCTTGAATAGACGGGAGCGTACGCGGCCATGTGCTGCCTTCTTAGCTGCAGCAAGGAGGAAAATGAGCAATCAGCAAGGATACTAGACAGTGTGGGTTTTCTCAGTAATTATATGGAAATGTTCATCTCCATTCACAATCTAATGAGCTAAACAAGCTGCCCAGCCACTTCTGTAGCTAAATCTTGCCTGCACTACAAAACTCAGTAATTTAAGTCTTTAGGAGAAGGGAGCTTTTTTTTTTCTTCCTAATCGCTGGTTCTTGTCGTGTCAGTTTTAACTTATGCACTTCTTCTTGGGACGCGATGAAAAAACATTGTCTGGGTTTCCTTGGGAGACTGTTAATGCTAAACTTTTTCTCCCTAGCTACCTTTTATAATAGTTACGCTAATCGAGGGCCAGGGCATTTCCTGGGGAAATTAATGACTGGCTGGGGTTAATGGCCCAAGGCACTGCCTCAGGCCATCAACTCTCCCAGCTGGTCATTAATCCCCAGGAAATGCCCTGGCCCTCAATCGTTATTGCTTAATTATAAACAAAGGCTTTCCAGGCCTTTTCACTGAATACAGCTCATCAGGCAATGTGACACTGAATTCTGCTGTTGACAAATATCACTGGTTTCTTGAAAGCACCAAGGTCAGAAGCTCGTGTTTTATTGGTCCCGTCTGTAATTATTGGTCCAGGGGACAGATCCTGCTGCCCCCTGGGCAGGTGAAACACCCCGTTGAATAAATATCAGTGCAAGGAGGGGGTTTCTTAGCAAGTTTATGCTGTTTGTGTGTACGGACGCTTTCTTACAGCACTAATACCTTAAGCAAGGTATGGAAAAGGTTAAACGGAGGCACTAAGCTGAAGGTATTGAATTTGCACTGTCTGCAAACTTTAAGGATCTGAGCAAGGATATTAATTTTACTCTCTTCTGTCGTGGCTGCTCCCTTCTTTTGTTTTAGCCCCAAGACGTGTTTGTAGCACTTGGTTTGCAGGAGCCTCCTCCAGAGCTGGGGAAAGGTACATCAAATGCTCAACTTGATCCAGCGATTGCTTTCAGTTGCAGCCGGGAGAGCAGCATTATACAGTATATTTTAAGCATACTGTGCCATCATGGCACAACTTTCTTTTCAGTACTTATTTGCTCTGAAGTGTAGCAATTTTCCTGCCACTGACAGCAGTGCTTCAGCTCAAGTTGATGACAGAGGGATGTAATTTGTCTGTTGTTCATCTCTCGTGTTACTGAAAGATGAACAATAGCTAAAGTTCAAGCCTTTGATGCTACAGTCTGGTGCTAGCTGTTGAGATTTATAGGTCTGGTACATGCTGAACTTCCTGCAGTACAAATTTCCCAAAGTAGGTCTAAGGAAATACATCGGCTTATGCCATGGGTGAGGGGACTCACGGGTTGCTTTGAAATGGTTCTGTTACATCAGTTCTCTAACTCAGTTGGGTTTTTCTCGGCTACTTCTGAAGAGTTTCATCGGCTCTTAAGATATCTACCAAATGTTCAGTCATTTAAGCATGGCTCACATGCGTTTGTCATAGTGTCTGGGAGATACTTGAAGGTTTTTTCTTTCTGGTTTCAACCCAAGGCCAGCTTTGTTTGTGCGTGTGTTTTCTCTTGATCTGGCAAGTGTTTTTTTATTGCCTTATGCTTTCTTTGAAGGGCTTACTTTGACCAGATCCAAAAGTCTTCTTCTGACTGCAGGTTTGGCAAAGCAAGGCAAAACAGTAGTACATGATGAATATAAGTAAGGAGTAAGCACAAACTGCAGCAAATCATCGTAATTAATAAGTTAGTCTAGCTCTTTTTAATCTTTTTCTTTTGGAAGTGGATAAGAATCTTTCTGCTTAATGTTTGGTATGAGAACATCCCACGTTTCCCTAAAGTAGCCACAAAAAAGGCTGCTGTTCTGTACAAATTTTTTTGGTACTCTGTCCAGGTTCATCACTGGGAGCTTTCCAAGTGTGCAGAATACGAGAACTCCTCAGAAGGCTCCAGGGATGTTTCTGGAGGCAGCGTTAGGATGCTAGGCTTTATTTCTATACAGATAATAGATGGGGCAATATCCCTATCTTAACGGCTTAAAGCACAGCAGCTATTAAGACTGATGACTTCTAAATACCTTGTTAGTTCTCGTGGGAGTATATCTGTTTACTTAGTTTCTGAGGTTAGTTGTGGCTGTGCTACTGTCTGGTGAGCGCCATCCTCTTTGATTAATGGATCATCAGAGCTTGCAAGAAAACCTAGGGTTTGCTAGGTGTCTCTTTTAAAAGGAGCACCAATGTTAAAATCTTTAAGTGTGAGGGTGAAAAGAACAATAAAAACTGTACCTACTTTACAGGGTGTTTGTTTTGTGGTTTTTTTTTTTGGTTGTTTTCTTGTTTGTTTTTGTTAATGGGAAATTCTTTCTTTTTCCATTAGAGTTACAGACATGGAAAGTGATCAACTCTAGGAGGTACCTATTATACCTCCTGGTCATTAAAGTTGCTCTTAAACACAGGGGAGGCAGAGGTATCAAACCCCCAAACCTGTGTTCTTATGAATCTCCATAGCAAAATCTTGGCTATTGCTCTCCTCAGTCACTCAGTGCTGTAATTCGCAGTTATTCTAAAAAAAATAAAAAAAAAATTTGAACAGGGCTTTTTATTTTATTTTATTTTTTGAAGATGGTAAGACATCCCAAACTGTGTTCCTTATAACCAACAGGAGGTTTGTGGGAATATGAATGTGCCCCAAGACAAGCTCAAGAGAAGCAGAATAGAGATTGGGGTCAGTGATCTCCTTTAGGCTCTGGGGGCTCTGCTCGTGCTAAAATGAATGAAGGGAGCTGGTCTTTCTTTCCTGGAATGGAAACGGTCTGTTTGGGTCGGCTGCTGGGGAGGAGATTGCTTGAAGGTGACTCGGGGTGAGTTTCTGTGAAGATGTGAGAATGGTGTTTTGTTACACGCAGGTAGAATTTAGATTTTTGGAGTATAAAGTCTAGCACATCGTCTTGGTAGGTGGTCTTAGATGCATTGGGGTGATGTACTGGAGAAAATACATTGTGTAACAATTTGAGGTGGTGGTTTCGTCCAGTAGCATGTCAATTCTTAAAATATTTTTACTTTTTGGAAATTAGACTTTATTTGCACCGTGTGAAGTAGTGAGAAACTTGCCTAGTCCAGCCTTCAGTGACGCTGATAAGAATGCCAGAGGCGATCCCTTTTGTGTAAACCAAATGAAGATGACCCTTTTCAAAACAATTAGGGGGAAAACAGCATCTCTGGAGTGCTGCTGTATTTTGATGCTTCTGTAATTGTACAGAATCTGAAATGACCAAGTTGGTACTCTTCCTCTGCGAACATCAGAGGTAAGCTGCACAAACTTAAAGGCAGCAGAGGTGGTGTGTTTTTTGTTTTTTGTTTTTTGTTTTTTTTTAACAAAAAAGTCTTCTGTGATTATCCTGTAAAAGATTTCCCATTGCCCAATGCTCTCCTGCTAGAGAGCAAGAGATCAGAAACTGTTCGGTCTAATTGGTGAGTCTGTATGACAGTGAGCTGCCTTATTTCATGTGTGGTGTAGAAATAAATGAGTGCTTAAACCCTTTGAAACACACCACTACTGCACAAGCCATAGGCTGTAATTAAATTGAATGTGGGGTTGTATTGTCTTGTGCCCTTGGCTATAAACTTGATAACAGACCATGGTACACCCACTATTGTGTTAGAAGCTGGAACCTAATTAGCTATGTTGTAGATTTTCAGTCACTTTCGAAGCCCTTCTGTTCATCCTTCTCCCAGTGTCCTTTTTTCTTATTATTTTGCTTTTCTCTTTCTGAAGCAATAAAAGCACCCTGCTTTTCAGGAGGAAATCATTAAGGGCATGTAGCCAAATATGTACGTGCAAGATAATTTTTTATCGCATTTTTGGATTCAAGGGACAAGTGTTAGTAACTGCATTTTATCTGATGTAGAAGAGATTTATTAATGTTGTGATAGTAAAAAATATATAATCATGTTTTCGGGGAATGCTTTGTAAGCCTCTCAGGCATTCGAGGGGGGAGGAAGGAAGGGATTGCAACTTCTCACAATACCTTGATCTGAAAGTAATGTCGGAAGACATGAGATTGAATTCTGTTCTCGTTGTTTTTCAGGATTATCCACACAGGAAAATGGCTCTTCCAGGCTTTTACAAATTCACGTGCTTCTGCACTCAGCCAATTTTAGTTGATCTGAAAACCTTCAAACTTGCTAGGGACTTAATCCCTAATGAGGACAAGTGCCTTTGATCTGTTCTTAGTGCCATTTTTAGTTTGGGAAATAATCAAAGTTGCAGCGCACAGATGCAGAGTGTACATTTTCAGTAAGTTCTCAGTTAATTGATATGCCTGCTGATTGTGTCTGTCTGTACACTTCTGTGGCTAGGACAGATCATTGCAGTTGGACGTGGGGGCCCTGGCGGTGCCAGACACACGCATTCTGCTGTCCTCGTGCCTTTTTGTTGGGAGCCAGGGGAGTGTGGAAGGACAAAGCCCAGGGATGCTCAGGAATGTGCGGGGATGTTCAGGGGTGCACAGGGTGAGGGCAAAATAAATCTATTTAGGTGAGGCAAAAGGATGAATTCTGGCTTTCGTTCTGTTTCCTTATCCCAGAGAGCTTGTGGAAGCACTGGGGCAGTTTCTGGTCTAATATTCATGTCTATCATGGGGCTCTGTTTCACTCCCTCCTCCTTAAGCACCCAAATCCAGCATCTGGCAATGCTGTCATTTGTTTTAGTCTGTGGGTTGTCTATTTTTTTTTTTATTTATTTTTTTTTTTTGATACAGGGAGTGGGAGGAAGAGAAGGCTGTGAAGTTGTGACTCTTGTGGTTGGTAGCCCTAATGAAGGGGCTGCAGCTCGCGGACTTCCCCGTAAATTGGCGCCTGTGTATGCTGTTACTACTTCTGCATCTGTCTGTCAGAAATGCAATGCGTAAATGAATGACTTCCTTAAAACACCACAGTATTTTAAGCTCCTCTGTCTGTGTGTGTGTGTGTGTCCGTTTACGTATGCTTAAGATTAGGGATTGCAGGAGGAATTTCAAGAGTGACTTTCTCAACCCTTCAGCTGAACCCTGAGCTTTTAGTAACTGCAGTTACATAGATAATGTGTGCTTGGGTGTGTATATATGCTGCTTTCCCTGCTGTTGATTTTTCTCTGTGTATTTCTAATAGGCTTCAAAAGTGGCAGGGAGGAGGTGCTCAGAAGCAAGACAGCATGCTCCATGTGGTGTTATTAAGGTCTGAAAGAGTAGTCTTGAGCTGTTACTCTGATTTTGGGTTACCAGCCATGCAGCCCATGCCCATCTTGCTGGTGTGAGCTGTTGTTTTCATGGGTGAGGTGCCTGCAGCACACCTGAAGGAATGGCCAACTGCACCAAAACTGTTGCATGCAATCAGTGGCTAATTACCAAGCGTCCTCTGGCTCAAAGCTCATCTGGAAATGAAGCAGCAGAAGTGTGTGGGGGGAATGGCATACATGGGTTTGGCACAAAACAGGAGGGGAAATCCTCTGGTGTTGCCCTCCCCACCTGGATTCTGCTTGGGCTGAGGCTTTTCTCCCTCCGAGTGCCTGCAGGCTGGGAGCAGGTGGGTTGAGGAGTTGCCTCCCTTCTCGATGCAGCCTTTCCTCGTACCAAAATCATGCTGCCCCCAAGCGTGTGAGTTGCCCTAAGTGCTGTAGTTAACCCACGTGGCTCTGATGCCAGGCTCAGAGGACCTAATTTTGATGGTTGGGGTGGCAAGCTGGAAGGTGTAGATGGGAACACAGATGTCGTAACAGACAAACCTACAGGCTGTAGCGTGGATGATGCGTGAATGTCAGATAAAGAAGGAACCTGCCTGAATTAGTTGCACTTTTGAGGGCTTTCCTTCATTTCTAATAGTTTTATTACTAACAGCATTCACAGTGTCTTCTTGTGTGCTGTTCCTTTTGTCGTCATCTTGGATATCACAGGTAGCTAGAGAACTATTGCAGACCAGGTTTGCTTGGATTGGGAGATGAGGCTTTCTGTGGGCTTTTATTGAGTCTGTGAGTACTAGTTCCCATCTTTGGTTTAGAAAACGTGTTGCCCTTTTTCTGTTATAACACCAGTTTCTAGAAGCTCTCCCTAGACCCAGCTAAGACCAGGTTCACATTTCTACTTGATTTTTTAAAAATGCTTTTTGGGGGAAAAAGGTAATAAGGTGCTCTAAGTGTGTGGGTTTTGGCAAATAACTGGCTGAGGAAGAACTGTGTAGCCTCTCGGCATCATTTACGCCTTCTTTTTCTATTGCCTTTTAATTCGGTAATGCTGAAGTAACTGTTTTGCTGATTATATCTCTGAAAATAGAGCTTCTCTGAAAAAGCACGCTCTCTCTAAAAATACACGGTAGTGGCAGACACGGTCGCGAGGACTGCAGGGAGCGGAGGAGCGGCCGTTCTCACGGCGGATGGGGTCACACACAGCCCTGCAGCACTCCCTTCTGTACCACTGGCCAAAGTCGGTAGGAATGAGATCTCTCCCCAGCACAAATGCTGTACAAGTTTATATTCTTTAGCAGGAATTGCAGTGCAAATCCCTCCTCGCTCAGCCTTTGACTCCAGCTCTTTTGCCAAAGTGCTGCTTGAAAATAAAACAGGCAGAGTGGGACTGACGTGGGTTTAGGTGTCAGGCTGAAAAAAAAAGAAAAATGCTGCTGGAAAATCAGCTTTTGAAGCTGTTGCAAATCCAGAGCAGCATGTGTAACGTAGTTAAGGTTTGACTTTTAAGAAACAGAGACAACTTTAATGTCCTCTCAAAACAGTTGAAATTTTGCTTTCTTTGTGGGGTATTTGACACGCTTCTCTAACAGTCTAATTTCTGTATTTTTTTTTTAATCTCTAGAAAACCTTGCAGATTACCTTAAAATAAAATAAATTAAGCTTTGTTTTTGAAATGCACCTGCACTTGTCAGCTGCTTTGAAATGAAACATTCCCAGTCTTTTTGGTGTTGCTTAAGGGGGAACTGCATACAAATTTTTCCATTAAAAGTACTTCTGGACCTAAACCGCGCTCTCTTTTTTTTTAGGCATTGGAAAGTCTCAGAAGTGAGGAAAGCCAAAACAAACAAACAGACAAAAAAAAAAAAAAAAGCCAGGTTCATTTTAACCAGCAAATACAAATTTGTTGAAATGGGTATCCAATTTAAAATGCGGTGATGTAAATAATACAAAACGTAGCATGAATGAATGTGCTGGTGCATTGCATTGGGGAGTGGAAGTAGCACTAAGCTATAATGTACATGGTGAAAGTATCCACGTAGCAGAAAGCAGGATAACCAAATGCTTTTTTCTAAGTTTACTGTGGTAATTCATTAGACAAGGATTCCTCATGCCCTTGCTCAAGTGGAATTTTAACCAGTTTTGCTCAGTGTGCTGAACTACCAGACTGCTAACAGGTGCTTTCAGGATCAGCAATGTAAGAGTGGGTTAGGTTTGCAGTGCAGGGCGATGATATGGCAAGTAACTGTGGCAGTCATGTGAAATGTACAGAGAGGCTTTTAGAAGCTTGTTAGAAAGCTTGGTTATTTCAGCAGTTGAAAGATACTAAAGCATCAGGTGAAATCCATCATATGTCCAGGTAAAGATACAATAGCTGATGAATAAGTGGATCTGTTGTAGATTTCACAAGGGCCCTGGCCACCTTTTAGCTAAAACAGAAACAAACCAAACAAAAAACCCTTCAGTGCTGCTGTCTGAGCAGCGACCGCAGAGCCCTGCCTTGGGGACGTCGGGCACTGGCGGCGAGGCAGCCCGCGGCTCCCTGAGCCCCCTGGGTTTTCCTCCAGAACTGTAAACAAGTGCTGTAAGGAAAAACCAAAGCGTTGCCATTTCCCTCGCACACAAACACTCTTTATAGAAGCCGAAAAGCTCCAAAGCAAGCGTGCTGTCTGAAATTGTTTTATTCTCTTTTAATGGCAGTGGTCCGAAGTAGCTGTTATACCTGAATGGGGGAGGAGAGCGGGGATGAGCCCTCCGACCCATCTGGAAGCCAGCAAGTGGGGCTAAATAACTGTGCCAGCTGGGTTTTGGAGCTAGGACGTAGGAATTTTGTGGTAAGGAAAAGAGCTGGAAAAACATTGAGGTAGGAAATGAAGAAGGGAGGGAAAGCAGGGTGAGAAAGAGTTACCCATCTTCTCATTACATCAGGTAGGAAACAGATTCATTTCTGTAGGGCCAGCTGCTGGGTGAGTTTGGTGGGTTCAAGGGTGGGAAATAATGCTTCTCTTTGAAACGGGGCTAGAATTAGGAAATAAGAAAATTTGCCCTTCTTAATAGTAAATAACACATGTAGAAAGGCACTGAAGCACAATTTGATCAAGGAAAAGAGAGAGCTGAGGAGTGGCAAAGAAAAATTGTGTATTTTCTTTAGAGCAGAAGTGCTGGAGCAAAATGTGAAAGAGTGGTAGTGGTTGGGTTTGGGGGCACTGTGGTCTTGGTTTTCTTCAACTTCCAAGTCAGTTAAAAGAAACTGAGTGTGGTGTAAATTAAATACATTGTATTCTTGAATTTGGAAATTGAAATCTAAGAGGTTTTATTTCCTTAACCTTAAAAAAGGAGACGTTTACACCCGTGGTTGTCTATAGAGTTCTGTTTCAGAGTCAGTGTTGGTTCTTGGGTGTGCATCCCAGAAGAGATCCACTGTCAGCACTGCAGTAAAATGGCATATAAGCACTGTGTTTGTTTTTATTCCTAATGGACAATAAACTAGTTTCCTCAAGCTACTCGAAATACTCCTTGTAAACTAAAGTGTCCAGATCAATTTCTCATTCACATCGTATTAAAACTCGGTGAGGAAGTTGGGAAAACATGGTTTTGATCAAAGTGCTGCATGAGCTGGCGATCTACTCCATTAATCTTTAAGCTACTTCATAAAATTGCTGCGGAGAACCCAGTGTGTTCCTGCTTCCAGAGGAAGCTTTATCCCACCTGGGTGCCACACGGGCTCCCGCAGCACCACGATGAGATGGGAGCTTTACTGGGACCAGGGTTGGGGTCTTGGTTCTGCTGTATTTATCTGGATGACGGTTTCCTAGTGAAATACCAGCTTTGTTAAATTTCTACTAGGAAGAGCTGTCTGCATCTAAAATTACTTGTGTACGCTGGCCTATGCTGTGTGTTAATGCCCGTGTTTTCATTGCCTAGTCAGTTCATGCTATATATCACAACTTCAGGTGCTTTGGTGGTGTGCTTAATCAAAATGCGTTGTGTTTTCCCCCCTAAAGAAACAAGTGCAAGGGCACAGCTCTGAGACATCAGGAATTCCTTGGTGGATCCGGTGGTAGATGGCTGGTTGCTAGCATTCAGCACGTAATTCTTCAGGAGTAGTTAAGCTGCTCTCATGCTGTAGCCCATTTTTCATAAACCCATTTTAAACTTTTATACAGTGTCTTTTCAGATCTCCCTTCTATCAAGCTTCTGCCTGTGCATCTTAATGAGCAGAAGACCTCAGATCAGTGTTTAAATCATCTGGTTCCCTCCGTTATGTATGTGGCTGTATCAAGATATATAATCACGCACTCTATTATAAACTTACTCCAGGAGAGGTGTTCATCTGATCAGCAGTGCTTTCGGCTGGCAGCGGCAGGCAGATGCTTTGAGTGCTGTTGCAAATCAGTAGTATTGTTTCGGAGACGCTGTCGGATGTGCTATTTCTGTCGTGCCGTGAGAATAAAAGCTCTGTGTCTTGCTGGTGGGGGAAATGAAACACGCGAGAAGCGGCCAACACAACATAAAACCTCCCGGAGTGAGAAGTGTGCAGCCCGTGTGCCGGCAGGACCGTCCCGTAAGGGTGAATGGTGTGCTTCAAGGCAGAGGTGAGGGTGCTGGGGATGGTGTACCAGCTGATTTGAGGCTGAAGGGAGGAGATGTACTGCTGAGAGAGGTGATAAAAGATGTTATCAGGATGCACCGGCAATTTTAGCCCAAAGTGTGGAAGGAGGCCCTCATCCAAAGTAACATGAAGCTGTTAGTCGTTCTTAAGGCAGGTTTTTTGTGACTTAGGGGAAAGGTGGTGGTCTCAGTCAGGACCCTAGGGGATGAGTGTGGTCAACGCTTCCTCCTCCTCCTCCCCAGGCAGGGGGAGGAAGAGCTGCCTTCATCCCCAGAGGTGAGCTGCTGCTGGACAAAGCACGCTGGTGGCAGTGGTGCGTTGGCTGCTGGGGCAGTCTGCTGGGCTGGGAACGTGTTGTGGAAAAGCAGCAGACTCCTGTACCAATTTAAGTGGAAAAACAAGACTAATGGCCAAATTTGTCGTCTTCATGTTTTTCACTTGTTGTGAAAAATAGCCCTGTGCTTCACCATCTTCCTGGCTTTACCATCTCCTTAATACAACTGCTCTGACTTTTACTGATGGCTTCTTGCGCCTAATCAGTTCTTAATGAAGCAGAGGGGTGTATTTTATTCTGTCCTGCATGGGCTTCCTTTTGTCACTCTTTGTTTTCCCTCCACTCCGTTTCCACTCCAGGCTAAAATTATTTCCAGCTGAGAAGGGCTGGATGCGTGTTGTTGCACAGCAAAATTGTAAATGGCCCTACAGAGTTGCTTGCAAACAGCAGAACTGATTTTCCCTCTGTTTCTCACCTCACGTGCATGCAAGGAAGGGTCATCTGGGGTCAGACCCAAAGGCTGGCTGTCCTGGTGCCCTGTCCCCAGACCGGTGGCCAAGAGCAACCTCTGTAGAGGAGGGTTGGAAACGGGCAAGGGGGAGATGCTTGTGGTGGGCTCGGATGCTTCTCGTGTGGGTGCTGTAAAAAGGCTTGCCAGCTCCCCTCTGAGGTGTAAGCGGTGTGGCAGGAGGAGGCTAATCATTATAGATCAGATATTAGCACGATGCTGTTGGGTCTGTGGGGTGAACAGACGGACCCCTTTGCGCTTTCTTCTCGAACTGTTTTGATGGGAATGTTGATTAGAGACAAGGTAAACTTGTTTGTACTTTATTCATTAATGACAAACTATAAGCTGCCCTGCCTCCCCTCCCCACAGGCAAGGCACTTGAAGAAAAGCCAGGCAATTAAAGTACTTAAGACAGTAATTACAGTCAAATATACAACAAAAATAAAACCATTGCACAGGATTTTTTTTTATGCTTGGTTTTGTTCTCTTCGTTTATTAAACCACAACTCTTGCCTCACGGTTGAACAGGAATGTCTCAATTGGTGGCACCAAGGCGTGCGACAAGCTTGCCTCGGTTCACTTGGGTGTTTAATAGCCTCCCTGAAGAGGAGCTCTTACCGCTGAGGTCTTCATGGCTCTGAAATCTGCTTTTTAGATGTATCTTCAGGTATATGAAGCTGGCACACCCCCGACTCTTAGCACTGATCGGTAGGGGCATGAAAGCAAAAGTCTCGTGGAACTTTTTCTTTCTCATTTTTCTGATTCTCACTGTATGTGGAAGAGATTTCCGAGGTTACTGCGATGCTTAGGAGGGAAGACTGAATTGCTTGGCTTCAAATGTTTTAATTTACCCGGTGCATTTTAACATTCAGAAATAAGCATCCACAAACTCGGGTTGTTGTGAATCTATCTAATGAGTTAGCATCGTACAGCATGAGCCTGCGTGTGTGCCAGCTGAACGTATTTTAAGTGGAATTCTTAGCAACTTGAGTATTCCAGATAAAGTGCGCTTTAAAGAGAGAGAAACGTAGCAGTAATGAGATCCAGCTGGTGTACATAAACCTTTCACATTACATTACATAATTAAGTTGGTAAGTAATGTATGGGGAAAAGTTCTTGTTGCTTATTCTTTTGTACTGGAGTTTTACAAGGCTGTATAAATACTGTAAGTATTTAATGGGGGAAAAGCAGGATTAAAAGCAAACAGCAGAAGATGGATGGTATAAAAACGTCATAAAACAATCGTGCAGTATTACCCTTGTGATATTTAATATCAAATGACTGAAACTTAACAGTATTCTCTATGTTGGAAGCGATCTTTTAAGATCATTTTCTAATTGATCGGTTTGATTACCATGATTGGTTTAAAGGTGAATTCCTTTCTGCTGAACAATAGCAGAGGACGCATCCCCCCGAGGGATGTTTTGGCCAGGCTTTCTGATTCAGTGAAATCTACACCGCTGTGGTATTCAAAGCAGGGTACAGGCTCATAGGCTCCTTACCATAACTTAACAACCTGTTCTCTTTTTAACAAACTGTAATTAAAGAAACATAAACTACATCTTCATTTAGTTCGACTGCAGAGCATGGGAGAGGAATGTGGGAAGGAATTCTTCGTACCGCTGTGAATGTAGCTGCCTACCTTGCAGTTGTTTCATAAACATCCTAGAAAGCTTCTGAAAAATACCGAATGTGGAATGTGCCAAAAATGGTTAAAACGCTAGACTCCGTCCTCTGGCAGGCAAGCCCTGGCAAATCTTCTCTTGATGTTGCTGCCCTCGGCTGCCCTCCTTTCTTTGCTGGAGCTTTTTTGCTCCCTTGCGGAGTCAGCAAAAGGTACGACGGTGTGCCCAGGCTTCAGCAGCTGTGCTGAGCCTCGCTCCATGGCTTTTGGGGGCCGTCATTGTCACCAGTGCCATACTGCCTGGTCGGGGACCCAGCAGGCAGGTGGTCCTGCTTTGACAGCACCCCTGGGGAGAGGGATGTTTGCAAGGAGCAGTCCCAAAATGCCCAGGTGTTTGCTGAGCACTGGCTGAGCTGGAGCCCTCAGCTCTCGTCATTCAAAAAGGGTGGTCAGGCAGGTATGGTACCGTATTTAAAGCTTAGCCTGTTGCTCTTGTGAAGAGTGTAAATTAGGATAATTGCCCTGTTTTTAAATAATGAGACAATCTATTTGAGATGTCTCAATACCTGTTAACCAGTTAAGATGACAACTTAATTTCCAGCTGCTGTTACCGGTGCTGGCCTCGAGCTGCTTGGGCTGGGCGCTGTGCTATAACGTGATGTTGCCTACCCCAGAAGGAAAAGGGAGTTTTGAACCATACATAAACTTTCACTTGCATGAGAGTTACTCAGTGAGAGGTGAAAGGAGCACTCGGGATATAAGCGAATACAAATATCTTCTGGTTTTGTGGGTTTGTAAGTTCCCATAAATCAGTCGGCAAGTTCCCAGTCCCTGTGACAACCACATGTCCCATGCTCTGACATCGCAGCCACCACAAAGCCCTGGCGAAGGGTGCAATCAGCCCGTAACGAGAGTGGCAAGTCAGATGAGTGGCATTTAAAAGGCGGGGTGCTGTCCTGCACATTTCTGACTTGTTTTTTTTTTTTTTTTTGCAGACTGTCGGTGTACCGACAGACTTTTAAAGTGTCCTTGCAGGTTGACAAAGCAACAAAAATCCACAGTGGGACTTTCTGCAGAAAAAAAAAAAAGGGGGGTGGGGTGCTGAAATCCTTTAGTGGCTTGTTCATAAGGATTTGGAGTGACTCGGTATTTTGCGCTGCTTGCTTTTAAGGAAATGTTTGTGTTAATGAGCATTTACTGCGAAACACAGAAAAGAAAGTAGCTAAAAGTGAGGAGGGGCTCAGCGAGGCCGGTCTCGTGGCTTCTGGACCTGCCAGGCGGTGGGAGCAGCAGCCAGTGGTGCTGGTTGGGATGTCCATGAACATCCAGCACCTCATGGGCTCGTGCTGCATGAAATGGCCTCACCGGGGGCTCACCCCGCTGGGGCTCCCTGCCCAAAGACCCGGGCTGACCCCACTCGGCTGGAGAGCAGGGGGATCGCGGCGCGAACAAGAGCCGCTTTGTTCTGCATCCTGGATGCACTCTGATTAAACCCCATAGTCATGAGGATGGATTTACTGGTGCGCTCTCGCTCTTTTTTTTTGCATTGCACAACAGCACAAACACCCAGCGAGCTAGCAGATTTAATCCGTGTTCCCTGAGGATTGTGAAATTCTGGCTGTGTATAAATTTCCTGGCTGAATTTGGAGCATGATTTATGAAGGGGACCTTGCCTCTTGTACAAAGTAGGACTTCCCTTCCTGCAGGACCGCAAGGCAAATGTTCTCAGTCTGCAGACTTCTTCAGTCTGCTATCCTTAACATGGTTTTGGTTCATCTTCCCTGCTGCATGCTTGCTTACTGAAGCTGTTTAACTGAAACGCAAAATAAATTTATTTTCTTAAGCGTTTGGGTCTAGTGTTGGCTTACAGGAAATGCAGAGCAATGAATGCATGTTTTGCACTGTTCAGGAGCTTTCTAAAATACTCAGAAGTCTGCTGTGTTTTTTTGGTTTTGTTTTTTTTGTTCTGTTTCCTCAATCTGCTGTTATAAGTGCACTTTCTCTTGCTAATCTGCTGCCTGAAATACTCTTTGTTCAGGAAGGCAAGTCTATTTCTGTTGTAATCAGGGCTAAGAATTCAGCTGCAGGGTCACTCTGTGGTACTGCAGAGTTCACTGACCACGTTTTGCTGCTGGCAGTCCTAGCTTTGGCCCCTTTACACAGATCAATGCCAGGCTAACCCCATTTATTGCTACTACTGAATCAAAACTCTGCTGCTCCTATTTAATTTAGCTCAAAATAGACATAATGCAAACAAGCGTTAGCATGGCAAAAGAGCTAGGAGAAGGGGGGGAAGAGAAAAAAGGCATTCAGTTGTTTGGGTTTTGGTTTGTTGTTTTTTTGTTGTTGTTGTTTTTGTTTTAATTCAAAATACCAAATGGTGCCAGGCTTCAGATGGGAGGAATTAGCTTGCGCTGCATCGTTAGGCCCTTTATAAAAAACAATAGTCATCATTGATTGTAATCTGCACGCGAGTATTAGAGTCTATCTGGCTGTCTTCAGTTTCCTTTTTGTGTTTAAAAGCCTTTTCTGGTGTCACTGCTACTGCTTCAGCTTCGCCATGCGTTCAGCCTTCTTCTGGGTGTTGAGTCCCAGTGATGCATCCCTGGTGTGCTTCCTTTTGGCCCCACCAGGCGAGCCTCCAGCCTTACTGCTGGGTACCCACCACCAGCTACCCCTGCTTCAGCCTGCTAGAAACCTCCAGACTTGCTTGTGGTCAAGTGAAATCGCTGTTGGCAGGAGTATTATTCTCCATGGAGCTACTCGGTGCTGAGCCCTTTGCAAGGTCCGTCGCGGTGAGGTGGGTCACAAGGTTTCGCTGAGGCAGGCGTGTGGCAGGTAAGAGTGCTGTGGCTGCTGGGCCTCTTGACAGAAAAAGGTAGTTTTTTTCTGTACCTGTGGATCACTTTGGTACGAGAAAATGTTGGGATTGTCAGGACGTTGCTTGGAGTCGAGATGACAGGACCTTTACATTGTGGTTGGCATCCCGCCACAGTTTCCAGCTAGGACTGGGTGTATAAATTCCACCGCCACACCTCATTCCACACGGCTTCGCAGATCTGTGGGGGAAGGCATACCCTCACCGCCTGCTGTCTTCTGGGCTGAAACCCTGTTCCCTCTGCGAGGCAGCACGGGTGGAAATCCAGAGATTTGGGGTTTCTGCTGAAACATGAGGCAGTCTCTCCACATGTCCTCCCACACTGCCCCCTCTGCCCAAACTAATCCCCTTCGGTTCTGCGTTCAGCAGAAATCAGGTGCCCAGCCCAGGTACGTCTATAACGGGGCCACAGATGACAGCTACAAGACGAATCCATAATTTAGGAATTGTTGGTGAAGTTATTTTCTGCTCCCTGCTGCTAGATGCTCATCGCAGGACTTGTGAAACTTTTCCTGTTTGTTCCAAGTGCTCTTGCTCGTGTCTGTCACTTACAATTCATCTGTTCCTGAAGGCAAGCTTTTGTTCCAAAGGGGAGCCCAAAGCCTGACAACTTAAATGTTTTTTGTGTTTCACCACCCTTCTCCACACTCTTGCAGATTAAACGCCGCCTCCTCCAGCCTACCCTTTTCTCTTTTGGCAGGGCTTTGTTGCCCCAACAGGGGATGCTTTGTCTCCCCTCTCCCACTCCCCAGGCACACTTGGCGTCCCTCTGCCTTCTCGCCTCTCACAGGCACTGCAGCCTCCCTGCTTCCCTCCACTCTGTGCCGGGAGGGAGCTGCTGGTGTCCTGCACCGCTTCCATGGCCTTTCCCCCATATTTTCCTGCATCCAGAGAAAGCCCTCTGCAGGTGCTATCTTCCAGACTTTGTCTGGAACCGCTCTTTCAAGCCTTGAGATGTGTCACTGTGGGTGACCATCCCCTCTTCAGCCCCTTCAGCTGCTGAGCTTTTCTCTTGTGATGGTTTCTCCCACTTTTCAGGTGTCTGGAATGCAGTGGTTTGGTTTGCTTTTTCACGTAAAAGCAGTACTTTTGCGAAGAAGGGTTATTTTGCTCCCTCTGATTATTGCAGGGGTAAGGAAGCGTGTCCTCTGTCCTGGCCACTGAACATCAGCAGCCTGCCATGTGCTGCATCGGGTGGGCACCACTCACAGCATCCAGAGCTGTATTCCCATGTGTGCCTAAGGAGAAAGCCTCATGGGGTCCATCCTCTCTAAAGAAGGGACAGGGTCTTAATCATTGTTTGCCTTTGTTTGTTTTGGTGTGTGGTTCATTTCTTCTTTTTTTGTATGTGTGTGGTTTTGTGTGTTGTGTTTCTTGTTTTTTTGTTTGTTTTGGGTAGAGGTAAGTTTTTGTTCTTTTACTTTGTGTAGAAAACAGTTCCTTAACCTATTTTTTTCCTTGGAAATCAAGCTGATTTTGCTCTAGTGATTACATTTTAGTAACAGATCCCAAATTACTCAGTCTTCTAAGCACTTAATTATCATATACTCAAACTGCTGTCTTAGACATTTTGAGATTCTCTCAGATCTTGTGGTCTCGATCCTTCCCTAAAATTTTCTTCTCTATTACAGAAGGCAGTGTAGTTCGGAGGTGTCAGTTTGGGACCTGAGCTGTTTATAAAGGATGTGTCCCCTTGTTGACATGCTCTTACTGGTTACTACTAGTGGTTGCTACCACTCTAGGTAGTGGATTTGTTTCCTGCAGCTTTAGTTAGATGAAGTCTTCCCCCAAGACTAACGCAAGATTTCTTCAAGTATTGTTTTGAAGGAGAATAATTTCACATCAAGCTTACTGCCTCATCAGTGGTTAAATTAGGCTAACCTCTTGGCAATGTCCAACTTCTCCGAGAACCCAGTTACAGAACAGCCTACCAAAGAGAAATTTCATACCTGAGTGGTTACCACACGGTGGTTGAACCAGCTCTGGCAAGTGGCAGTGAATGTCCTTAGGTTGTCTAACGTAGCTTCTGCATGTTTTAAAAATGAGGTAACTGTGTGTGTGTGTTATAAGTCTGGCTTTCATTTTCCTGGTGAAGCTGCCCATTGCCCTTTTTCTTTCGAGCTGTCCCAGGATCATCTCATTAGGTCTTTCTTCTGTGTTGTTGGCTTCTGCCATAGCACAGCTATCTTTAGCATGACTTTGTTAACGTGTCTGTATTTCTTGCTTGTCAATTTTATTGAAACGTTCACTGAACATTTGAGGCAATAAAAGCCAGTAGCTAGAGAAAGTAAGATAGGCATTTCTCGTCGATTAACCAATGTCGTCTTTATGCTTCTTTAGACACTTTCAGTTCCTTTTGTTGTCCAAGCACTGGCAATTCACGTGTTAGTAATAACCAGAGAAGCACAAAACCAGGCTCAAACAGAACATGCAATCCAAGCTAATGTATGTTAAGATACCAAAATTTTGACTGGTGTTCTGAGTATGCGTATGTGTTCTGTTGTGGTGTAGGATCAAGTTAAAGCCTTTTAATATGAAATAAAAAATTTAATGAACTAGTTAGCAGCTGTCTAAAACTAGTTAGCCAGTTGCTAATTCATGAAGTTGGCAGTGGTGATGGTGGCTTCTGTTAGCATATAGCACATGGTTATATAGATTCGTGGTTAATCTACCCTTGTGGGCAAAAAATGCTAAAATTAGCTGCCAAATGGATGTTTTTATCATATGAGCTACAATGACTACTTGGAGAAATCCCTACAGGTTTGAAAACAATAATAATCAAAACTGTATTTCTTAGCTTTGGATCTGAAAGTATCTTTTACACATAATGGAATCAAATGAACCAAATCTAAAGTATGCTTTGTTCCTATGCCATACGGTTGCTGCCTTGCCAAGCACGCTTCTCGCCTTCCAAAGCAGGATCCTGCGTTCTCCTCTCCTCAAATCCTGCCCTTCACGTACCCAAAAAAGTCACTGCTTGAGCCTGATAGTTGCGTGCACGCTGTTCCTTTTCTCCCTTCATCTCGAAGTGTTTTCCCAGCATTTAAGAAAACCTCAAAAAAAAGAGAAAAGAGGTTAAAAATATATATATATATATAAATGTTCATGCATTACTGCATGAAGGAGCTTTTTGAATTTAATTCAAGACTTTAGGCCCTTCCCACCAGCTGCGTACCTACCCCTCTGAGGGGTTCCACATCTGAAGAGCATCACATTTCTAGTATGGGGCAGGGATAGAAAAGCATCTGGATGGCTGAGGGTTTTCAGCTCACCTCCCATATGTGGCATGACGCGTGAACAACCCTCTTGGAGAGCTCTTCGGACCCCTTGACTGTCCTGTGCCACCTTGTGTGTGTCTCTTCAGCAAAAGCCTGTTTCCTCTCCGAGCACCTGTATGTTATTGTGCCGCCTGTCCTTAGGTATTAAGTAACCTACATGTATTTTGAAATAGCATAATGATAAATAATGTGATTTCTCTCATGATAGTGCTTGGACTTTTTCATTCTCCTGTGTGTTATGAAATATGTAGGCTGATAATTTCAATGAGAGTTACAAGAGGAGAGAGAGACTTCCAGCCAGCCCTGGAAATGCACGGGATCATTTCAGAGCCGAGCAAACTCTCCTCATTGCAGTCTGCGTTCACCAAGACTCCCAAAAACCCTGTTGCTTCAGTAAGTTCAGTCTTTACCATTTCCTTGCACTGTCCTCTCGGTGGTCTCAGTCCATCTGGCAGGTTTTCAGCAGATCCTCGTTTTCTGAGCGGTGGCATCGTTGCGTTGATAGCTCAGCGTTGGGAGGGGAAGTGGGCGGGAGGGAGGAGGAGAGCCCCATGACAGCAGAGGGCTCCTGAAAGCCGGTCCTTTCTGCCTATAGTGTTGCATTGCATCAATTCTGGAGTGAGGGATGTATAATTTAGGATTGCAATTTTCCACTGTATTTCTAATTCTGCACCAGCTTGAACTGTAACTGTCAAACGCAGTTGTGTTTACATCTTCGTTGTAAATTAGATAATTATGAAGGTATGGTTTTAAAGCCCTTTTGTGCCTCTTTTCTGCAGTGAGGTGATAGATGAAGCTATCTGTCTGTTGTATTGTCTAGTCTCGTAATTACTAAGTGGACGCAATGTCTTCAAAATTACGATTCAGGCTGAGAATATTTTATTATTGGTTGCTGCAAGAAACATCTGGAGAGTGCTTAGAGCTGGAGTGTGCTACGGCATTTCATAGATACAGTTTTATTGGATCCTTATAATTTGTCTGTTTCCTTTTCATAAGGCAGGAAGGGCTAACAGGAGGCTTTTGGGGTCTTTTAATTTATTTTTTTTTAAGGTGATTCTAGATATAAACTTCTTTAGCTAGTCTGAAGATGTTTTTTTTTCTGTTGGCTGCTTGTTCAATCTGAAGTAGATAATGTTCTGTTGATATGTCCGAAAATGCTTGTGCTCCAGATGGGTCAGTATTATCTCTTTCTGCTCCTAGGCAAATTAATAAAACAAATTTAAAAAGTGCAGAGGAAAGCAGGCGGCTGGCTGATTCAAAGGGAGAGGCTATGTTTTTCATCACCACCCTTTCAAAGCCTCTCTGAATCAAAAGAACCATTGGATTGCGAAGGCAAGACCTATGCCACACCAGAAGCTCCCAGTTCAGCAATTTTCCCAGGGTAAAATTATAACTCATGTTTCCTCAGCACAGGCTGTAACTGGCAGCGTTCCTTCTACTTCTAAGGGTGAAATTGCTGGGGGGAGAATAGACATCTAATGTGCCTCTGGAAGTTTTACAATGGGTGTTAGCCTGGCTTTGTGAAAAGGTAGACGTTCTTCTGGAACATGCCCAAGGGCAGGTGCTATTCAAACTGTAGTGTAAATTAACTTTAAATAAGGTAGTGTGGGCTTATTTCTGTTGGGGTTGTGAGTCAAATTTGCAGAAAAGGCCCATTTCTCAAATTCTGACAGTTAATGACAATCTTCCAGTTATCCCACTGAAGTCTGCATTTTTATGAGTCTTTAAAATCTTCAGATATGACTGCAATTCAAGATGGTAATCTTTATTCATGTACTGCTGATAGGATCTTAACTCGCAAACAAAACAGACAGATTTTAGCAATGCTTGTTTTTTGGTGTTGCTTCTCACCAGAAGATTATGGGACAAATTACAAACTCAGTACAAGAAGAATGTAACCAGTTGTTGTTGTTTGGTGTTTTTTTTCCCCCGCTCAAATTTTGACAGCATCTTTAAGGAGTTGTTTAACTTTGCATTCAAATGTACCAACATGGTCCTGGCAAACATAAGTTCTTTTCTTTTAAACCCAGGAGGGAGTGTTGTATTTTTTTTCTGTTGTTGCTTTTTTTTTTTTCCTTGTGCTTTTATTATGTAAAGACTCTTACAAAATATGCATAGAGTGCCTGCTAGAAGTGGATGAAAGGCAACACTCGAGTGAGAAGTCTGACAAAAATTATGCTATTAATATCAACATCTCAAGCTGCGAGGTGTCCAACTGGGAGGAGTTAGAAGATGGTTTCCAGTGTCTGGAGCTTCCCTTCCCCTTCCTACCTCCGTTCCTGATCTGAATCCCATGTACACACGTGGGGTTAAGGTGGCTGTTGCATGGTCGTCATCAAGAGCAGGAGCTGATGGCTGGGCTCTTCCCAAGGGCCGGGGAGAGCTGCTCAGGCAGCTGCCACCTCCAGGCAGGAGGTACTGGCCCTGGATGAGGGCCCAGAGCAGGTAGGTATCTCATCTGCAAAGGCACTGCACCTCCTGCGGAAGGGATGAAGTGGTCCAAGGTGTTTGGATCAATGCTGCCGCTGGACAACTGAAGCCTTGTGCGGAGGAGAATGGGTCTGTCACCTCCATCCTTCGCCAAAAGGTGAAGCTCCCTTCGTGTGCTTGCTGTGGTACGGAGGGCAAGAGAATTCAGCTCCTCTCTGCTACCTGAGCTTCGATAGAGGAAAGAGAAGAAGAAAAGTGACCTATTTTCCAGGCTTAAAGGGAAGTGAATGAAACTGTCCTGGGGGCAGCAGAAGCAAAGGCTTTTGTATCAGCTGTAGTGTTGTGGGCAGGGCTGCCAGGCTGCTAAACGCTCTCAGGCCTGCAAGCTTCTTTCCCAGGGACTGCTCATCGTCGTGTGTTTCCTCTTAAAAAATAAAAATAACTACATAAAGGTGTCCGAGATGACTGTGGTCTTTCTCCATCGAGACTGAGGGATCTGTTGGCAGTCTGTGTCTTGTGATAGTTTCTGCAGGATCTGGCAGGATCCACTTTTTGTCCAGAAGAACACAGGCGGCTGAGTGAGGTGACTGAGGTGCCCAGCTATGCAAACCTTCACATATTTGGGGCTGGGCACGTTACTTCAGGAAGGCTCAGGCTGGGGCCTTGCACTTCCTTTTGGTCACTCCTAAATCAACTTTATTGTAGGTTTGAGTAGAAGCCGGTGCAGAACAAACAAGCTCCCCGTGGAACAAACGGCCTGAAATTGCAGGTATCTAGCCCATCCCTATCTTGGGACGCCATGAGAAGTGGCACAGCAGGTCTGTTGACCTTTGGTCTGATGTCCTCCTGCGTCCTCCTGCTTGCTTACGGGATGTTTTTGCCAGCTGCGTGCTGGGGTGCGCACCCTGTGATTATCCGGTGTCGGGTGGGCATTGTGTGCTGCACGGTAATTGGGAGCAGCTTTCGAATCCGGTTCTGCTTGTAAATTAAATTGCCACTTTTCCTGAGCGAGAATCCAATCAGCAGCAAGCCCCGAGACCGTACAAGTCTGCTTCCATTAAGAAAAGCAAAGTGGCCAGTGGATGTGTGCTGGGGGAGGGCGATGGGCCTGGGCTGGGCCCCCGAGTTTCGTGGGGTTTTTATTTTAATAGTGCAGCGGGTTGCATGTATGCAGAAGATCCTGCCTGCATCATGGGCTTAGGTCAAGTCCTGTGCCGGCCACATTCACCACTGGCTTGACCAAAGTGTAGAGGGTGTGCACAGCGAGAAATGGGGAGGTGGTGCAGAAGAACAGAGCTTTACTTGCAGGGCCTGAAGGTAATAAAACATTTGGGCTGGCCTCAGCAGCGCCTACCCAAACAGGCAAGGGGCTGAGTTCCCATAAAGAGTACAAAATTACAGAATATCTTGAGGGAGGTATTAAACTTTTGTATGCAGTTTCAAGGCCTACGGGAAGCTTCAGAAAAGTTTATAAGCACTCGAAAGAATATCTCCTCTCTCTGTAAACTTGACCTTCTCCAGATTTCAGACTTGCTGCACTAGTGGTATAAGCATAGCTCCTGCCCTTATCCCTAAAGCCTCCCTTCTCAGGTTAATTAGATATTTTCTTAAGCTCTCAGTGGACAGTTTCTGATGAAGCTGTGGTTAGAGCTGTTCTGCTGAAGTCAATCGTGAGCTACAGGTTCGGCTACTGTCCACCTGGATGTTGGGGTTTTCAAAGCATCTTCAGGCTCCTGTCCAAGGGCACTTTTAGCTGTCCTGAGCCTGCAGGTAGGCAGCGCTCCTTTTTCCCTCGATCCCTTGCCTTGCACATGGTTCTCTGCACCTGTGGCGTTTATCCTAGGTCCTGATCAGCTCCAGGTGAAATCCCAGCAAGGCTCATTACGCTGAGGAAACGCAACCACGTTCTCTCCAGCGCTTGCAGCACTGACTGGGCAGGTATGCTCAGCAGTGCCCAGGTCTCAAGGAGGAGGCTGTGAGCAACCGGCATGCAGGATATGGAGCAAGGGACCCCTGTCTCGAGGGATGGGATCGGCGCTCCACCCCTGGGGACAGCACCTCTGGGACAAGGAGGATGTAGCAGTTAAAATTGTCCCGTCAGGTAAGTGCTCCACTCAGTATCGCTGTAGCCACCCTGCTGTGACAAAGGTTCGTCATTGCTTTTGTAGACTTGGTCAGTGTTTGAGCTGTTGCACAATGCAGAAGAACTTACCTCTAGGAGATGGTTTGAGCCATGTCATTGTCTTCTGATGGCCTGTACCTTACCCCCGGCTATGATGTTCCCCTCTGGGTATCTGTGTCCTATCTCTCAGGCAGCCACGTGTTTCTGCAAATCGTACTGGTTGCTGCAGACATGGCACTGGTGGTGGGCAGTGAGCAGCTGCTTGGTGTAGTAGTTGGTTTTGTGCTGTACTCGTTTAGTGTACAGTGCTTTAGCATCTCAAGAAAACCCTCCTAACTTCTCAAGCTCTCTGTTGTACTTGACTTTCTTGTATAGGATAATTTGGTCTTCCATCACATGTTGACAGACATTCAGGATGTAAAATGAGGCTTTTCCTCCAGAGGTCTAAAATAATTCTTCTACTACTACCGCTGCATCTCAGGGGACCTAGTATCTCAGCTTACTGTGGCACTAAATTGCATCTGATAGTGTTTTGGGCCTGTCTTTCATGCAGCACTCAAACACAATTGTTTTGGAGTTTTGCTTTATAAATGCAATTCTTAATGTTCAGAGTCAGCAGTCCTAAAGCTCGCAGCTGCAAGGGAGAGAACACTCATTATATTGATGAAAGGCAAAACATTACAGCACAATCGGCAGATTTTCACTGGGGAAAGTGATGCGTTACTTCTTTGTTTTGCAGACCCAGTGGCTCCAGTACAGCCCAACCATCTCCTCAGAGAGCTACCACCTGTCAGGGTAAGGGTGAAGAAGCAGAAGAAAGAGCATTGATATACTCATGTGTAAACACCTTTTGCTAGGGTTTGGCCAGTAGCCTGGGCTACTTCTTGGTGTCTGTGTTACTCAGAACGAAGATGAAGAGAAGCACCACTGATGGCATACGAAGACTTAGGAGACTGAAAAGCATCTGTCACGCTCCATGCTGTACACGTAGTCGTCTTTTGAACACCTTGTGGGCTCTTTCTGAGGGGCCAGCACAACCTGGTGTCATCTGTGGATGCAGCATACCATGGCTGTAGCCAGAGGATTCAGCTCATGTGAGGATTCAGCCCATGAAGGAACCCAGGGCTGGGTTTTCCCCTTCCAAGAGAAAGTGTCTGGGCTTCCTGGACACGTAGCTCTGTATCTCTGTGTGCTTGTTACACCTTTCAGAAGAGCTGTTTGTACTCTACTGATATTGTTTATATTGAATAAATATATTCTCCAGCCTCTTTGTTGTGGTGACTGTTTCTGCTGAATTGAAAAAAAGTGGGGGGTACTTGCTTAAGCATTGTGGTGAGACATGATCATGATTTTTTTTTTTATCTTTAATGAAATGTTTATTTTGAAAAAGTGTGGCCTCAAAACGAGGACACTTCTGCAGGAGCCAAATCTGAGAGAGTCATCCTGATGTTCCTGGTTTGGACAAGGGACTTGAAGCAGGGTATCACGCATACCCTCAGACACCCCTAAATATCAGCCCGCTGTTTATTTCAGTGGTGGGGCACACAGCTGTCCATGAGATTTGAATGGTTCCTACTTTGTACTGAAGGAATAGGCATTTGTGCCTCTATCTTCTGAAGTGTTTTTTTTTTTTTTTTTTTTCTTCACCATTTGGATTCATTTTCCACGCAGTGGGGTTGCATGTCTTTGGAGGAGATGTTTCTGCCAGAGAATGCTGGTGTGACTATGCTGTCTGCTTTTGCTACTTGAAGTGATCCCTAAGCACAGAGCTTCTGTGAAGAGAAACCTCTCCCTCATGGCTTTCTATTGTAAGAAAAGATAATGGGTACAGACAGATTTGATGCAATACAATAAGCTGTTGCATGATTGTCTTTTCTACTGTCCTGTCTAGATGAGACAAGCTTGTCCTCACCTTCCCCCCAGAAAATCCAAGAAACTTTGAAATATGTAACTTGGAGTTTCTCAGCAATTATAATTCCTTGAATTGTGTCAGGGAGGATCCAGTATGATACAAAGACTAGACCTGCAGTATATCGAGTAGCATTTAGATGCTGCTGCTTGAGCTGGGCTGGCTCCTGGACATATATTGGCTATACTAACCACAACCAATAATGATACCCCAGTCTTGTGGGTCAGGTAGGTGGATCCTTTGTACTTGAGCATTGGTCCTCCAGTTGGGTGAGCACGGGTTGTCTTGTAGTGCTGTGGTTTATGTCAGGGTTCCTGGTTTAAGAAGGGAACTGAAATGACTGCTCAAGACCACAGAGTGTAAATAACACTTTTGAAATGCTTCTAATCACAGAAGCCTAACACGAGCACATATTTTCAGGGGAGGAGGAAGCCTCCTGTCTCTTTGATTTTGTACACTTAGCAGCACATTTTAATAGCTCGTGTTCTTGAGCTTATTTATATTTATGTATATGAGTTTATATACCTCTTATTTCTTCCACTTGCTGCCAGAAGATTGACATGGCTTCTGTGTTGTCCTTTGGTGGACCAGTGGCATTGGTGCACATCTCAGCCCTACAGCTACTGTGTTTTGTCAGCCTGGATGTAAAGGCTTATTCTTTACCAACCCTCTTCAATGGAGTTGGTGAGAGGAAGACAGGGAGGAGAAGAGATCTGAAAGCTTTCCTCCTCCACGATCTTTGGTCCTCTTTGGTAGAAAGGCTTCTCAGCCCTAAGGACTTCTGTAGGTCCAGGGGAGGAGGAGTTGAGGCAAGGTTGCTTTTCTGTTGAGTCTACAGGAAGGCTTTCCTAGGGCAGAAAGTGAGAAGGAGGTCCAAATATACTCTGACGACCTGGGCCGACTAACTGCTTGCTGTTGAAAGCTAAATATCTTTAAGCTGCCCAGTGCATAGATTTTTAGTAGTCATTTCAATATGTAGCTCCAGCAGTAAATTTGTTCTGTTTGAAATCTGAACTCATTAGTTTGAAAAGTTGTTGGGGGGAAAAAAAGTCATTGAGTAGTAGTAATGATAGATGTTTAAAAGGTATTTCAAGCATTTTGGTCCACGGGAAGTGGTGTAAAACACTGAGATTTCCTGTTCTTTTTAAATTTTCCATAGGGCAAAAATTGAAATATTTGAAAAGGAAAGATACCAAGTGAAAAATGAACTGCTAGCAGATTGGGAAGGTCGCTGCCCCTATAGCCTGCATGGGCTCTGGCTGTGCTTTGTGTCCTGCTCGTGAACAAAGTTGGTGCAGTTCCTGAGGCACAAAACCACCTCTGTGATCTCCCTGCCGGCTGGGAGCAGCCATGGCTGAGCTACAGACCTTTCTTGGGTCACAGAGGGACCTATGTGAGACCAAACACCCCAAGGAAGGCTGCTGAA